GCTTTGATTGCCCATCGCTGATTTAGGGTCACGCTCGGGTCCTGTTTTTTATCTGCAAGGCCCAGGCTAGAAATGTACTTTAAGCTTTAAGAAGACCCGGTATTTCAAGAGTTGTCGACGCTTGATGATTTTTTGTATGACTGTAATGCCTCGGCCAAGGCTCCGTAGTGTTGGGTGTTGCCCATATAGAAGAGTTTACAGCTTGATTACACCAGATGGACAAAAGGGCCGCTGTTTGCCTGAAGCCACACAGCTGATCAGAGCTGGGATTAGAACCCCCCACTTCACTACATCTGAACCTACTTCATTGGATGGGAAAATCAATCCCATGGCTTATCTATGAAACCACGCTGCCGATTGGCCATGCCCCTTCACCATACCACCATTAACTTTAGCCCTCTTAGCTGGCACGAGGGGGAGAGATGGCTGGGAATGTGACCCAGCCGGAAGGCAATCTGCTGTGTCTTAGAGGACAAGTTTGCTTTGTTGCATCCCCCAAAGAGGGGAGCTGAACCTGGCACAATGGTTCTGTGTCTCGCACCCACACCCCATCAGGCAGGTCTCACTATGGCGTCAAGTCTTTTCAGCGCCCGGTAACGCTCCTGCCTTTTTATCTTGCAGAGCAAACTAAGCAGGGTGGGTCTCCATCCGCCGCTACCGGCTGGTGGCCAGCATCGTGTGTCTCTTTGTCACCCCCTACTGGCTGGGGGCCCGCCTCGTGTGCCTCTTTGTCCCCCCCTACTGGCTGGTGGCCAGCATCGTGTGTCTCTTTGTCACCCCCTACTGGCTGGGGGCCCGCCTCGTGTGCCTCTTTGTCCCCCCCTACTGGCTGGTGGCCAGCATCGTGTGTCTCTTTGTCACCCCCTACTGGCTGGGGGCCCGCCTCGTGTGCCTCTTTGTCCCCCCCTACTGGCTGGTGGCCAGCATCGTGTGTCTCTTTGTCACCCCCTACTGGCTGGGGGCCCGCCTCGTGTGCCTCTTTGTCCCCCCCTACTGGCTGGTGGCCAGCATCGTGTGTCTCTTTGTCACCCCCTACTGGCTGGGTCAGGCCAGAGCAGCTCCCCTGGTGTGGTTTCTCCACGTCCCTGCTTTTTACTCTGCAAGGCCTGGGTTGGAAACTTGCTGGGGACCTGGCTGCAGGGTGTTGCTCCAAACATGGTGCTGTCCAGCTCTTTTGCTGGATGGAGCACACTCGGTCGCAAGCTTTCCTGGGATGCTGTTGTAACCCATGCACCTAATAGGGAGCCATCTCTTTCAGAGACCTCTGTGGGGGAGGTAGGAGTGAGTTGAGTGGTGTTGGGCTGATTTAGCGCACCACCCAGACGTTTCTGGAGTTGGGTTTGGTACTTTGGGGTCAGACTTCATGAGCCAGCAGGCAGGGCAGCAGCTTTTCTAAGGCCTGTGTGAGCTGGGAGAAACTGAGTCAGGCGCAGAGAGCAGATTGTTATTCCTCACTCTGCAGCAGGCAGTGATGGTGTTAACCCTCTACCAGGGCTCATGGGCAAGGCTACTTAGAGCAAGGAGATCTGGGAGGGAAAATACCTTCTCCTGTGTTAATTGTCTGCTTTCAAGCAATGGGCTTAAACTGCAGCAAGGAAGGTTTAGGTTGGACATTAGGAAAAAGTTCCTAACTGTTAGAGTGGTCAAACACTGGAATAAATTGCCCAGGGAGGTTGTGGAATCCCCATCTCTGGAGATATTTAAGAGTAGGTTACATAAATGTCTATCAGAGATGGTCTAGACAGTATTTGGTCCTGCCATGAGGGCAGGGGACTGGACTCGATGACCTCTCGAGGTCCCTTCCAGTCCTAGTATTCTATGATTCTATTTTGTTACTCTCCGGTTTTGTATTTTCTTGTGACAGGGCTCTTTAAGCCTGTTTACTTGTGACTTAAGGGACTAGTTAATCAGTGAGCTGGCTGCCTAGCAGTGATCCACAGCAGAGGAAGAATCTACCTGGATTTCCTACGAGCAAGTGGAGGGTTGGTTCAGACTCAGCATATGGTGCAGATTTGATGATCGGAGGCACAAACGGAGACTTTGGTGAACTAAATCGAAGCTTTTGGGCCCTCTCGGTCTTTTCTTGTTGTGTTTGTGTGGACTGAACTGTTCACATTTTACTTTTTGTTTTCCCTTTACGTATGTTTACTGTCATTGTGGACGTTATCTGTGGGTTATAAAATAGCTGCGTTCTGTTGGAAGAATTAGATTGTTTGTTTCTTCATAAGATTTTATAAAGTTATTTAATTAAATTCATTTATTCAGTTTCTTTTGGGACTTGAATGTTGGGAGGCCGGCACTGGGCAATCCTTGCTGGACTCTAGGTCTCCAGTACTTCTATGGGAGTGGGGTTTTGGGTTTTTTTTGGACACTGGAGAAGGGCAGTGAATCCAGCCCACCCAAGGTTACACTAGGGGGTGCTAGGCACCAACATGCTGCCGAGAGGTGAGGGGGACTGGCCATGTAGCATCTCCAAAAGTCCCAGCCGTGGTAAGTTAATTCAGATGCCTCTTTGCAAGGAAGTGAAGCGGATTCATCTCTCCCTGCCTGCCAGTGCCAATCTGCCTTCGCTCCCCATTTTTAATGGGGTCCCTACTGCTGACGAAAGAGGCCTAGCCCCCACCGCCCGCTCCCAAAGCAGGCACCAAGTGATCCCTGCTTCCTAAGTTCCCTTGCTCGCCGGATTTACGGCTCGCTGGGCTTGTGTAAACAGGACCAGCCCTGCGCCAGACGACAGGGCTTGCTAGGGTGGCGCTGGGTTGATTTTCTTGGGCGTGCCGGCGAGTGCTGCCAGGTACAGGGCTGATGTCAGCTGGCTGGAGAAAAGGGAAGCTGCTGGCTCTGAGAAGCGCGTCCTTCCCTGCCACAGGCCCGAGCTGCGGGGGCCCCTCCGGATGCCTTTGTAACTGAGCAGTGTGAAGAGGTAATTGGTGACTGTGATGGGCCCAGGGGGTTCTAGCCCTGGAGAGGGGTGGTCAAACAGGTGGAGCCGTGATTACCGTGTATGTTTCAACACAGGTGTACCGGGGACGGGAGCTGGGCTCAGCACGCGTCCTTCCCTGCCACAGGCCCGAGCTGCGGGGGCCCCTCCGGATGCCTTTGTAACTGAGCAGTGTGAAGAGGTAATTGGTGACTGTGATGGGCCCAGGGGGTTCTAGCCCTGGAGAGGGGTGGTCAAACAGGTGGAGCCGTGATTACCGTGTATGTTTCAACACAGGTGTACCGGGGACGGGAGCTGGGCTCAGCATGGTCTCGGCCAGCCAGGCTGCCGTGGAAAGGGTGGGTGGGTGCCTCTTGGGGGCGTCTTGGCTCCCCCCCCGCCGCCGGCGGGGGGGAGTC